AAAGATAGTCTACAAAACCGATCGCTCTATGTTATCCAAAAATAAATGTTCGGGTCTTCGAACGAGCAAAGTTAACCCTAAGGAAGAAGTATTTGGTTTCCCATTAGCTACATTTGTTAGGCTTTACGACTGTAACAGGTCAGCTGTTGGCTTGAATCTGGCCGACATAAACCAGGGCTTGTCCGCTGTAATATTTACCAAAAAAGTTTGCTAAATGACCTCGCAGGTCATTGGGATATTACACGCCCAACCTAAAGTTATCATCCCGAGAATGTTAACTATTGTATCCGGCTAAAACTAAGACAGAACAATCCCTCGTCAATTACAATACTCTATCAGCAAGGATGGGATCCGAAACTTCAGGCTGCAGTGCCAAAAGTAATCTTCATACACCACGATATAGCCATCAAATTTGGTCCAAGGTTTATTCTTCAGCCTTGGAACTACAAAATATATTTCTCCACCTCCTCCAGCCGACATCACAAGCAATCAATGATCAAATCCTTATCTGATCTATATCCAATCAAGGCTGGAGTGATCGATCTCCTCTTGACAAAAGAACAACAAGCAGAAGCAGCCTCGATTGAAGTCAACTCGTCTTTAGCCGTCTGAATAGTCATTTGTTCGTCAAACTCAGCATGTGCCTCTGTCTCACGACTATCGCGATTCATGAGCTCGAGGGAAGTGATCATGCCCAGAGGATTGCTAGGGCCAGCCTACTTGAGATTATCTTGGGCGGCCTCAGAATCGTGAACGGGAATTTCGACAAAATTTTCTCTGGCTGAGCTACTGACATTCGGACTCAATTCTAACAATCCAAAAACAGGGCCTGGAACTATACATGTTTGTGGGCTGGCCGGAATCCCATTAACTGATTCTGGAGAAGATAGGGTTGCCATTTTTAATCTAAAAGAAGTAGAACTCTGGAAACTGAAGAAGAACCGCCTAAAGATTATTTGAAGATTGATCAAATTTCTTTGAAGATCCTCAGTCGGAACAGATAAGTCGTGGCGGACCAGTGCACGAAGAGTTCATATATAAATAAAAACTAGAGAGCGAGTAAAAATCTAAGAGAGAATGGAGAGTGGAATACATTTTATAAGCAAAAGTGAAGTGAAGAATGAGGAGGTGTAATCGCATTTATAGAAGATAACTCCTCGGGTTTTGCATAGAAGGTTGACTTGTTCGATGCCACGTGGCATTGGGTTAATGAAAAAACATCTGCAAAGAAAACACAAACAACAAAAACAACAAAAGTATCAGGGTCAATATCAGCGACCTTGTTCAAACCGAGCCAAAGTTTTCAACAACTTTGGCGAACTCATTCTCAACAACTCCCTCGTCCAACTATGCGAAGGGAGCTTATATATGTCACACCTCGAGTTTAACTTGGTATTAATTGAGATCAGCCCAATTGATCCCAGTTTACGATGGTTCATTTCTGATGAAACCGTTAGGAAGTTCAGCCTCTGGATCCCACATAAATCTGGCCCATTTAGGTCGGCACTGACATCAACAAAAGTACTTTCCTTATCTCCACAGAAAAACGAAATTAGCTCGAGAAAAAAAGGAAAAAGCTCAATCAAGATTTCACCGACTTAAAAGCTTATAAACAGGAAGCTATCCTCCTCACTGGAATTTTGATTTATTCATTCAAAACCCAAGAGATTATTAGCTCCAATTATTACGGCTTTGATTTTTCTGTTCTTATTCTAGCTCGTCAATCTTTGATGACCTAATTTCCCTTGTACTTTTTCAAACTCATACTTAATTTAAACGATATTTCGATCCAAAGATCACTGTTTCAATCTCCTCTTTCATATACTGTCCAAAAATATTCTTATGAAGGAGTAAATACTATATCCGCTCTTCCTTTCATTTGCCATTGATTTAGGTAGAGTTTGCTTTGATAAGTGAAGTCTTTAGGATGTTTTGTCTTTGAAGAAGAAAAGAAAGTTTCAGCCAAATTTATTGTTCGTGCTGATCTTCACAAGGGAGCCTTTTGTGGTGACTGGAGGCGCAAAGTAAAGCCTTGCAATGCTCAGTGAAGCTTCGAGATGATTGGTTTCTATTAGTAATGGGCCTAACTCACACCCAAAAGCTAGCTCAAAGGTGGAGGATTGCAACACACTTATATATTGTTCACAAAACTCCTTATTACTCGTGTGGGACATTATAACACACCCCCTCACGCTCAAGATTGGATATTTGAAGCGTGAAATTTGTGGGACTGGACATCCACGGATATAGCCCACAATCAAGATATTAGAACCTTATTGGACTCTGATACCATATTAGTAATGGGCCTAATTCACATCCAAAAGCTAGCTCAAAGGTGGAGGATTGCAACAAACTTATATTTTGTCCACAAATCTCCTTAATACTCGATGTGGAACAATCTAACAGTTTTTTGGTGACGTAAACGCTCTATGATTCTAGCTGCGGTCATCTTTTTGGGAAATGCGTATGTGGATCCAGTTATTTTAAGGTGTCTAAAAATGAGAAGATGAATACCTTCAAGTTTATCTATTCATTTGGACTTTGTATTAGGATGCTGGTATGATTAATGAGTTCACCTTGTAATCGCTTGACTTGGGCTTTATCTTTTATGATCTATGAAATTTTGAGAAAAAAAAATATATTATAAAAAACTGATAATCGTGACATGTCTCAAGTTTTTACTATATAAAAGAAAATGATTCAAAGTTGCTAATTCACATGATCGTGACGTGTCTCAAGTTTTTTTTGTCAATTTTTTTTTTTTGTCAACAACATATGTCAAGTTAATTGATCAAATTTTGAAAAGTGTAAAAAAATAATAATTAGATTTTAATATATAATATTAATGATAAAAAGCAAAACTGATAATCGAATTCTAATCCTAAAAAGAAAAAAAAGTAAAAAGAAACAAAAAAAAAAAGAAAATATATAAATTGGTTCTAAAAACAAAAATTAATTATAAAACATAAAAAAACTAAATTTATAATTGATTCTTCATCTAAAAATGTAATATTACTAAGCAAACAAAAAAAAAGTAAATTTATCATAAAAACTACAGTTAATAAAAATAGAAAAATCAAATATTAATAATGGAAACAATAATTTTAAAAACCAATTAGTATAGAAAAGAAAACTTAAAATTTTGAAAAAATTACTAACTAGATCATAATAGTAAAAGGTAAAGTTTCTAAATAAAAAAATAAATACAGAATAGAAATTTATAATTTATCATAAATTTTATTTTTACAGGTATTTTTAATTTTTTTTCCACGGGCTATCAAATTTGAATTACAAACACATATTTTTTAATGGATTATCAAATGTTTAATTATAAACCCGTATATATCTGGGTTCTAATCTAGTTATAAATAAAATATAAAGTAAAAATGCTTAAAACAAGATGTAAACCTTGTCGACTCAAATGTAAATAGTTTTAAACAGGTCTGAAAATAAATAGAAACAAACAGCATACTTGTTAAGTGGGTGCGTTGAGCCTAAACTGGCATTTATAGATGCGTGTATCTATAATAATACAATTCAACCTAAATCGACACTTGTTTCATGTAACTGTTTTACTTTTTTTGAATCATCTAGTTATTACATTATCACAAATCACAAGTGTTTGTGCATAATGAACAAAGTAATTCCGAACGAGAAACATATTTTCTGCCAAGTAATATGTGAAAGAGCATATTTGTGGCCTAGCGTATGTGTAGTAGATGTAGCAAATATAACAAGCATATAAAGCATGTAAAGTAAAGAACACACACAGAATTTTTAACGAGGTTCGGTTTTCCTACATCCTCGGGACCAAGTCCAGAACAAATCCATTAGAACAAGATTGCAATTACAATTGCGGTGATATCCAACATTACAATGCCTACCACTCTTTTTTAGATGAAGAATCTGTAGACACGACATCTCTATAAAGAGTACCGTTCGGCTACAACCGATACAAACACCATCTCATAGATGTGTTTGTACTCTGTAAACCATCACCAACAAACTTACAATTCTCGTATGGTGGGACGACGCCACACACCTGTGTGCATCTCTCAGCAATATCCTAGGCGCGTCTGCTCTTTATGAGACGCCTTCTCGATATATATTATTGATCCTGAACCCTAGGATCTTCCACAGATTCGGATAGATACAACTTGCTCCCCAAGTTTATCTACTTACCAAATCTGTACACTAGACATACGTTCTAGTGATTTTATCCAGCTCAGCAAGTTACTTGCTACGTCAGCTTCTGCACCACGCCAAGTTATTGTCTCCTGATACGACAACTGATTCATCGACTGACTCATCGACTGACTCATCGTCTGATACATCCGCTGATGTATCCAACTGCAATATTCTTGATCACCACAATATTTTTCCATCATGTGTTGATCACTGATCATCACTCGCATACACCGCTGTCTTTGCATCTGCTCTATTAGCACCTGCATCACGTACTAACTCAACAACTGTGTCAGTTCTGCTTATGTTTCTGTCTGAACTGCCACACCTTGTATGTCGATTCTGTCCTAACATCTGAATCACATATTCATACTGTCTTAGCATCTATACCATGTCATGTTACCGCAGCTATGGTATGCTCTGTTCAAACAGTATCTCAAATCAGTCAGCACAACACTTAAGCCAAAGAAAAAAAAAAAGTATTGATTGAATTTATAGAAAGACAAGATACGAAAGTTTTCCTACATCTTAAATTCTATACCTTAGATTAGTTAGATTCTAAAATTTTTGAGGTGACATGTATATCTTGTAAGTGTTTCGAGTTATCAACTATATGATTCTACTGTGATTAATACTTAAATAAGTTTTGGCAAGAAAATACAAAAAAAAAAAAAATGCATGAGATATTCTTTGGTCAAATGATACAAAAATACAAATATATTAGTTATGCATTAATTAAAAAAATAGTACGCTCGAATTTTCCAATTACTGTTAGTTATGCTTTAACAAAAAAAAAAAAAAAATTCCAGTTACTGTTACTCGCATATCCAGCTGAATGCGCTGCAAAACCTTTTCACAGGATCTTGATAACCTTTACCAGGGACAATGTATTGTCCACCATTTTTTATTGGATCACAAATCATCTTGCAAGGATTGCCACATATCGCTTGAGTCGCTTTTTTTGATGCTTTCATACACTGATTTGTGACACAGTCTTTTATACACACATCTATCGTGTTGGAATGAGCGACTTGTGCAGAAAACATCATTGAAAATAAAATTACAATTATTAAAACACTGCAAAATTTCTTCGACACTTGAGCAGCCATCATATAAGTACTTTGATTATGGAAAGTTTAAAAAATTGTATTGTTTCTTTTTAGCCTGTTTGAAGCGAGATGATTTGGTGAGGATTTTTGATTGATGTCAGATAATTTATATAATAGAATGGTTTTAGGAGACTTTAGAAGTTTACTAATTATTAGGAGGTCAATTTTTTTTTTGTTTTCTGTTTCTTTTTCTTAATTAGGTAAGTATATCGATTGATTTTTGGACAACTCGATGTTTATTGGGCCTGACTGGTTATAGCTGTAGCTGTATATTTTTTGCTGTAGAATTTAGGCTGTTTTTGTTTTTGATGTGGCGGTGGATTTTAATGCTGTAGGATTTTGGCTGTAGATGAAAAAAAACCTAATGATTTTCATCTACAGTATATTATTGCTATAAGTATTTTGCTCTCCACGGCCAAAAAATAAGAAAAAAGGAAAGAAAAAATAGAGTTTTACACTCAATATCAATTTCACATTTTTTAATTACAGATACATTAATTTATGTTATTCTAACACTATATCAGCTTTTACATTATGTAAAAGACAAAATGATCATTTGTTTTCTTCTCTCTTATAAATATAAAAAATAAAAGAAAAGAAAATTGAAAAATCTTTCTCTTCTTTGTTTTATTCTTTCTTATCGATATTAAAATCATCATTTTCTTTCTTCTTTCTTCTTTCTTCTCTTTCCTCTATTTTTCCTAAACTTATATCTCACATATTTTTTTTTCCGCATATCTCACATATTTTATTTTGCTTATTTTTAAAGTAATTTAACAATTATTTTTATACTATCCGTTATATTTATTTTATGTCTATATTTTGATGCTCATTTCATAATAATTTATTTATATTAATTTACATAAATTGTATAAAAATGATATACATATCTACATGGTTACGTACATATGTATCCATATTTTCTTTCTTCTTTCTTTTTTTCTCTATTTTCCCCAAACTTCTATCTCACATATTTGATTTTACTTATTTTAAAAAAAAAATTTATCAGTTATATATATTTTATGTCTATATTTTGATGCCCAATTTATAATAGTTTACTTATATTAATTTACACAAATTATATAAAAGTAATATACATATCCATATAGTTGCGCACATGTGTATTATATTTACGTAAATACGCATGTATGCCTATCTAATTGAATCCACGTGTACCATATGTATGTGGATACGTTTATATATTCATATAATTACTTCCGCGTATAATATATGTGCGTCTACATATCTATGTAACTGTGTCTACGTGTACGCAATTTTATGGATACGTATACATTTTATCTATTTATGCAAATTATATATAAGTAAACTATTGTTACATATAAATTTTAGCATATGTATACTCCATCTCATTATAATTTATTTATTTATACTATTTAAACAAGAAAACATTTTTGTCAGAAATAGGAAAATTTTAATTCTAAGGTATTTCTTTTGTGGATAATTATTTTTATGTCCAAACAGTTTTTTTTTTAAAACAAATCTCCATGATATGTTTATTGTTAGATATAGATATTTTAATTAATTATTATTTGAAATTAAAATAATCTAACATAAAGATAATTAAAATAAAACAAGATTAGTTTAAAAAATATTCTAAAATACTTTTTTATATACAACATTCATAGTCTTTTATTGTGACTTCCTTTTTAGATTTATAATTAAAAAATTTTAAGTTTTTATTCAATGCTATCTTTAATTCTTCATTTTTCTTAACTAGAACTTTTTCACTGTTTAATAAGAATTAATTTTTTTTATTAGTTCTTATATTTCACAAAATCACATGCACGAAACAATAATATTATTGCGTAAACAATCCTTTAGATAGTTTTGATACCTTAATCTCTAAAGTAATTATTATTTGTATAAATTAAATTTACCCTATAATATTACTGCGTTGGTAGAAGTCATTATCTTTGTCTTCGTTCTCCGCTCTTTCTAATCTCTTTCATTCACTGACAGAGTTTTTCAGATCCAATTTCCGTTTTGCCTCTCTGGCGTCTGGCGCTCCTCGCTGGAGCCGTGAGAGGGCTTATCTTCTTTTTTTATCTGCCTTGGCTTTTCATCCAGGCGTTTGGCTTTTGTTTACAGCTGATTGGTGGCGATTGGTTTTTTTCTCCGATGAGATGGCAGCGATTTGGCGGCACTTGAAGGTGGATCCCTATGCAGATATGGATCTATTGAGGATAACATCTGGTGATGCTTCCTTAAGGGATGACGTTGAAGGCTATCAGCGGCTCCTCCTTCTGTTTCAGTCTCAGATCCGCCAGCATTTAAAGGAGAAGTTTCGAGCTGGAGTGGTGACACAAAGCGTTGTGGATTGTCTAGTAAGCTCTCCGCTCTTGAGGACGGTGGCGAGTCTGAAATGAATCTCGGATAAGGTGTTTTAGGTTGCGTGAACCACCAGCATTTGTCGAGTAAGCTCGGTAGAGGAGACGAGTATTGAAAGGCATCTCGACGGTTCAGCTTCTCTTTATCTCAGTTCAAGTTATCTCTCTCGTAAATTATCAATCCTGAGGTGTTTCGGTGGTCTCTGCTTTTCTCCAGGCGGTGGCGGTTTAGTTGGCGACCAACGGCCCGGATCTCGTTCATGAAGACGGTGGCAGCGGCTTCCAAGTTCCGAGATTGCAGAGTCATAGTCCTGCAATTAGGGTATCAGGCGCTCCCGGTTTAGTAGCTGGTTTTGGGCAATCGGTTTGTGATCAAATTCTAAACCGGGACCATTATGGGTATATTAGGAGTGGGCTTTGGTGTATTTGTTTGTGTGTTTTTTTTCTCTGCATTTTACATTTCATTTGTAAACTAAAACCCAAACAAAATTTCAATATGAAGACGCTTTAACAAAAAAAAAAGAGTGAATTTGGTAGAAATTCATAAAATGAGACGAAATTAGGGAAATGGTAAAAACAGTGAATGGAGGGAATTTAGAAATTTCGAAAAGGTGGTACATTACGTAAAAGCCCCGCTCGACAGGTTCTGCTAATTAGGGATGATTTTAATTTTTTTTTTAAATAGATATTATTTAGATATTAGAAGATATTATCAGCCGTAATAGAGTTCTGTAGCGGTTACTAGGCCTGGAACTAGGTACCTGCTGTCCACAGAAAATTCCCTCTCCCGAAGCTGAGCATTTAATAGCGTATCTGAAAGATTTCCTTATGTGGATGCGGCATGACATGTATGTATGTATGTTTATGGTATTAGGGTTTTTTACGCTCTATATAAATAGGTATCGGTCACATTTCTAGTTCCCCAGCCACCAGATAAAGAAAGAGTAATATAAAAGTTAAAGGTTGTCTTCTTGTTGATTAAGTCGAGAAAGATTTTCCGGTTTCGTTCGTTAAAGGTATGTCTCCAGTTATTGCAGTTGTCTCCAATTTATAATGTTTGTTGCATATTTAATGGTTCTGGTATAGTTGTAAAGTGTAGAATCTGTCGTATTGCGCAATAAATGATGAGAATTTATTGAAGTCGTTAAGATTACCCTGGGTAAAAAGGATATATTTAGATTTTTACAGTGTTTCCTGTTTTGGATTTACAGATGGTTGGAAGTTTGGTGATGCTTGTTCGCGGAAGCTGGCAAAGAACAGAGGGCGGCGCGTGGAACTTTGAAGTGGACAGTACTGGAAATAGCTTCTGCGTCATGATGGCGGAGAACTCGAGCTTCGATGAGCTGATGAACAGTGTGAGGGCGCGATGCTTGGTTGACGCGGCCACGGAGATTGCCTTAAGCTACCAGTTTCCAGACTGGATGTTGGTGCCAACCGGGCCGCCGACGCCGCCTATTGATGTGATGAACAGCTCAGATGTAGAAGTGTTCATGGCGGTTCGTCAGGAGGTTGCAGAACTACCGATGTATGTAACGGTGGGAGCGGATGAAGTTAACCGTTACAGGTTCCAGAAAAGTGCTACATATGATGTTGGAGGTCCATCAAGTCCCGTATCTGCACAACTTCCTAATATCCAGTTTGGAAGTTTTGACTACCAAAGTAATAGATTCTTTAGCGCTTTAATAAATATGAAAGCGGTTACAGTTTTCGAGATAAAGATGTTGATAGGTTTTTGCGTGTACAGGTCTTTTTAATAGAGACCGCATCCCTTGCAGCGTGAGTGTGTTAAAGAAGATCTGCACGGCAGAGGAGTTGGCAATCCTGGAAAAACATTCAGCAGAACTAGAAGCGCAGCTTTTGAAAGAGAGCACCAATATGACAACAAACCCTGTGATCGAGCTAAGTGACAAACCAGCGTCTGCGGGGTCAAGCAACAAACCTGGTGACGGAGGCAGTCCGCAGGAGGGAATCATCAGGTTGGCCGAAGAGGAGGATACAGGGATGGGACCTGCGAGCTTCGATGCTGCTCTAGCTAACCTGGCGTTGATGACTCCAATGAAAGGTATATCATAGATATTTGGAAACAACTGTAGTGGAGGTTGTTTTGTTCTAATGTAACGAATAACGCAGGTGGGACACGAAACTTCTCCGTTGCTGAGCAGGTGACTCCTAATACTCTGAAGTTCAGTGGTGGAAAAGGGAAACAAAAGGTGGCAGTCAATGACTCCGACGGAGACACTAATCTGGCGTTGACGCTGGCTTGTCCGAGTGGTTCAGATAACAATGATCGTATGAGTAGTGGTACTGAAGAGGAAGACATAGCACAGGAAGTCTTCGTTGGTAAGGCACATGATAGCTTCTAACGAATTTATTGACGTGTGACTTTGATAACTGTGAAATATGTTAAGTGTAAATAAAATAAGTTGTGAAGCGTAAGTTTTTTGAAACCATTCAGGTGATGGGTTAACTAGAAATGAGGAGGTGTATGTGGGGATGATGTTTAAAAATCGTGAAGCTTTCAAACTACACATGGCTATGTACGCACTTCATCACAAATTTCGGTTCACTCACAAGAGGTCAACACCAAACGTGATGGTCCTAGAGTGTGTTGGAAAAAGTTGTCCGTGGAGGGTTTATGCCGTAAAGATGGGTGAGTCGGAGTGGTATCAAGTAAGAAGGGTGAAAGCCGACCATTTATGCACGGTTGATGAAAGAGGAAACTTTCAAAGGCATGCAACATCGAGTGTGATAGGGGACATGCTGCGGGCAAGGTACGCAGGTCGGGGTGGGGGTCCAAGGCCTACTGAAGTAAGGGAGATGATGAGGGCAGATCACGATGTGCCAATATCGTACTGGAAGGTAAGCATATTTGTTAAGTATAAGATATGTGTTAACGTGATACTGGAATATGTAGACGGTATTTATTTTAATATAGGCATGGCGATCTCGACAGGTGGCCATGGACTATGCAAAAGGGACAAATGGAGGGTCTTACAAATTGTTGTCGGCGTACCTAAAGCAATTTGTAATCGCGAACCCTGGGTCGATTGTCAATCTTGAAACAGACATCGAAGAAGGAGTTGGACAGCGGTTCAAATACCTTTTTCTTTCGATTGGAGCTTGTGTGCAGGGTTTGAGATATATGTGAAGGGTGGTGGTAGTGGATGGGACCCATCTGAAGGGGAATTATGCAGGTTGTATGCTTACAGCAAGCGCGCAGGATGCCAATTATCAGATTTTTCCAGTGGCTTTTGCAATTGTCGATGGGGAGAATGACAATTCATGGACTTGGTTTTTTCAAAATCTGCTTAACATTGTGCCAGATGCAGAAGACGTCGTTTTTGTGTCTGACCGGCACAATTCCATCTACGCGGCACTGAGTAAGGTATGAAGGGTGATTCCCCTGTACTTCTGATAATGTATTAAGACTATATCGTAACAAAAAGTGTAATTTTTCATATATCTGTTACACTTGAAGGTGTATCCAAAAGCGATGCACGGAATCTGTGTGGTGCACTTACAAAGGAACGTACAAGCAATTTTTAAGAAGAGGCACCTGGGTTATCTCATATCCAAGGCAGCTAGAGCTTTTCACATCTCTGAATTCAACACACACTTCAACGAAATTGTGGAAATCGATCGAGCATGTGCTGAGTATCTTGCCGCCATAGGTTTTGAGCAATGGACACGTGCTCACTTCACAGGAGTGCGGTACAACGTCATGACTAGCAACATTGCTGAGTCATTAAACGCTACTATGGCAGAGGCCCGCGCTTTTCCTATCATTCCGCTGTTGGAGCATATCCGAACAACCCTAATGACTTGGTTTAGCACACGGAGAAACAAGGCCAACAATGAGTCGGGTGGGCTTACAAAGAGAGTTCAGGGAATTGTGGCTGCCAACTTCGAGAAAGGGACCGGGTATATCGTCAACCGCATTAACGAGAGTGAGTTCGAGGTGACAGACAAAAATGGGATAACAAATCGTGTGGATCTGTGTAAGAAAACTTGCACCTGTTGCGAGTTCCAGCTCCTGTCTATACCATGCTCTCATGCGATAACAGCGGCTGTACGGTCCAAAGCAAATGTTGAACAACTGGTCGGAGAGGAGTTAACGACTACCTATTGGAGGATGGCTTACTCGGAGAGTATTTACCCAGTTCCAGACTATCAATCCATGATAGAGACGGATGATGTGATTTCTAACTTTGCGCTAATGCCGCCGGCAACTAGACGACCGCCAGGCCGCCCGCGTAAGCAACGCATCTACTCTCGAGGAGAATACAGGGTAACTTCTAATTTAGTTTGTCAGTGAAATAGTTTATTATTAGAGTCTAAAGTTTATATTAACGATATAAGAAGTTGTTTAACGAAGTGTTTTTACCCGATAAGTTTGCAGGGAAGACTTGTGAGGCGTCTTACAATTTGTGGTCGGTGTGGTGGACGGGGACACAACAGAGCCACCTGTAAGAACCCAATATAAGGTGGCAAGAAGAGGGAGGACTAGGACGGAAGAATTTGGTTTTATTTTGGAATGAGCCGAACTAAGGGCCGGCCGAATTTTCAACTGGTGACTTTGTAGTATATTAGCGTAAGTCCCTTGATAGACTGTGTTATGTGCTTTACAGTCTCGGAAACTTTTTATGTCCGTTCTCCCTTTGTAATTTGTAATGCTGTTTCTTTCAAGGTTTGTAATATGGTACCTTCTGGCATGTATAATATTTGCTTCATGAACAATGTTAAGCTAAGGGTAAGAAATTTCTGGTATTAATGCACCGTAATTATCGCATTTATGAGGCAATGACAGAAAATATATCGTGACAAAAATAAAAATTAGACTATTGTATTTTTGGAAGAGGTAACATAACAAATTAATTAACAGAAATCGATAATGTTAGATGTTAAGTGAACTATTTCGCTATCTAGAATAGGAAACGATGGAAATAGTTAATATTATATGGAAACGAATAACGTAACAGTTTTCATTTATTGATTAGAGGGAATTTCGTTACTTAGATGCTAAACTGATGACAACACAATTTCTAAATCAAAATATAGGTGCTTCGAATATATATGTGCAGGGAACAAGTTGTTTCAACAACAATCGTAAACAATGTGTATCATAATCTACACGGATCTTTAAAGCCTACACATGTTATTAGATCGGTAATATTATTAATGGTTCTATGGTTACGGAGGAGATGTATAAATGGGAAACTAACTAGAGAGAGTGAAACGTTAACAAACCAACCGGGAGTACAGTTACAGATGAAAACATAAAGAGTCACAAACATAAATCCAATTGATAAACTAAGTATTAGGACCAAACTCATTGTAGAACATGACAGCTAACTTGTACGCCTCCGACGACACCAACTCTGGAGTTACCGAACGACAACCCTCCAAACCTACGCTTGCATGGGCCTGCATTAGCAACAAGGCAGTGACAGCAGAATCGGAGTTAATCTCGTTCTGTGGAATGCCCGTTACCCTTTCCAGAGCGTAGGGTTTCTCGTCGCGCAAAACTTTTGTGCTGGCAGCTCTGAGTAGAAAAGGAAATACATTACAAATCGGGATGAATTCTTTCTTAAGGGCGCTGTCCGAACGTAACGAGACATTGCAATCAAGCACGAAGATGGTTGCTTGGCAGATGTTGACACATACGCCAACCCAGTGTCGTTTGTCAAGATTGAAGGGGAAATACATTGACTCAGGTAAAGGCCGTCGGGGGTTCTCAGAGGAAAAGTACGACATCAACGAATCTTGAAATTTGAACTTGGAACGGTCTTTAACTGCGGTCCGCGTAAACTTGGCATACTGAGATTTGATTAACATTGGGAAGCTGGTATCGAAAAACTCGATCTTTGAGTAGTTGAGCGGATACTGTTGTGGGCCAGAGCAATTTCGGAGGTAGAACATTATAGGGTCTACGACCTATAGTGGAAGTAGAAGAAACGTATAATGTTAATATATCACACACCAAAAAAATGCCAAAACAAAAAATTAAGAATACTAAATTACCTTTGGTTGAAGCACCTGTATTCTCTCGCCGATGGCAATAACATCTTCGGATTCGAGAGTTACACCCGGGTAAATCTCAATAGGTCGCCTTAATAATAACAATTGTTCCCATTATTAATCAAGTTACCAGCTAAGAAAATGTATTGCGGTTACATCGTGTAATAGACTATAGACATGTTGTCATACCTGTCGTGTGAAATCTTGGCCTTTAATTCCGCAAAACGAGCACTGTAATTGATATTAGGATCGCAGGAGATAATAAATGTCATTTTTGGGGGGCCAGCCTTAGTTAAACCACATTGGTAGTCCTTGTAAACGACGGAAGAGGTCTTCAGTCTCTTGCTTTTCCGAGGGATAAAGGGGTTGTTATCAGTTACGTTGACATTGGAGATACCCGCCTCCGGATGCAGTAATAAATCATCTTGTGTCAGACCAAGTGAAAAGGAAGGAGACACCGATAGCAGCAAATCCATCTACGTATTAAAAACACTGTGGTTAGTATAGCAACATGTTTAAATAAAATTTGTAGCAAAGGTAATAAAACTTATACCGCTTTAGTGCTTCCAATGCCATTAACGGATTGGTGATTAGCCTGATTATCATAGAGTACAAGCTGATTCTGAGGAGAAGGCTGAAATGCGTAATTCTTATTGGTACGTTAAAAATTGATGTATTAAGTTCATTAAGGGTACATGAATCCGAATATCATCTAAACTTTATGTTAGACATCGAATAAAAACTTAACGACAAGCGAATACTCACCTCGGCAGTGACTGGATTTGTGGAAACTATAACTGTGCTACTAACCATGGGATTGGTTTGACATTGGGGTACGTTAATGCCTGCCAAACCGGTACTAAAGCGAGAAACATCCTGGCTCTGTATTACCAAAAATAACAACTACTTATATCAAGCGGTCAGAGATCCAAGCCAATAAATAAATCAATTACCTGGGCATTAATGGATTGGGTCAACTGCCGAAGAAACTCGTCGTTGCTCATAGCAAGTGGCGGGGGCTTGTTCAACGCGGAAGACCGATATGAAGCTGATTGAGTTTGGATAGTGGAAACCGATACAGACTGATGCCCTATGGATGTATCTATGAAAACATGTTCTGTGCCAGAATCTGCCACTGTTGCAGTCGGGGATACTGAAGAGGGAGGATGCTGAGTTACTGTGTTATCATCATCGAAATGTGTGGGGAAACCACGTTCTTCTGACACCCCATGTGTTACCCGGTGTTGCTGAGAAATACTACGCACAATAGAGTCGTGAAACGATTTAAAAGCAGCGGTAATAGCTTGAACAATCTTCCCATCCTGCAACAGAACTGATGCTTCCAGATCGCGTAACCTGTTGTTAAAAGATTGCAGTTCAGATTTCAATTTATCAACCACGAGGTCGGCAATTGCATCTTGATCGAGAGAAACTGATGTGGAAGAACTCTCAGCTGTCTTGTCTTTCTTCTTCTTGTCCTTGGTCTCTTTTTCTTTTAGGGCCTTCTCAGATCGCATACGGGCCAAATCAGCGGCAGAGAGACCACCGGAGAACATATCTTTGGTAAACCGAAAACCTTCACCGATCAATTTGACCATGATATCTACGGCCTCATCAGCAACTTCATCAGTCCATCGTAAGTCCATCCCCTCGATAGCTACATCGCCATCATTAGGGATAATGGAATGGACTATAGCCTGATATGTCAAAAGTTAGCATCTAAATGTTATGGAAGACTACATATTAATTAATAGTATTACAGCAGCAATTTGTCGAAAGCTTAACGGCTACCGATAATGTTAGCCCGCTACAGAATAATTTATCAATCTGTAATGGGAATAACATGTTAAAACTTAAAGTACCTGCTCCTCTTCATCAATCTCCCGAGCGTGGCTTGGGCTGAGCATCATCTTCACTGCTCCAGTTGCTGTTACGCCTTCGGTGTCCACAGTCCGATCGTGAGCACGATTCGCATTTAAAGAGCTAGCAACGTCAGTGGCTGTATCGGATTCATCATCACAATCACTGTCGGATTCTCCGGACGGATCTTGAACCACTTCAGTTAATGTGGGAACAGCGGCCATCATTACCAGCTGAATCGCATAGAAGAATCCTTTCACGGCGATGGTCTTCTGGGATAGCTCCAATTCGTCTTTGGATTTAATGCTAGAAACAAGGAGATCAAACCCAACCCTGCCCCAAGGGTAAGAAAGGAATACATCAATATCTCGAATGAGCTCAACATGTTCTGGAACAATCTTGGTAACATGAGAAGTTGGTACTAGAACAGCGGCGGTAACGGCAAGACAGGCACATTTAAATCTTTTCTCTCGGTCTGAAATTTTTTTCTTCAGCAACATGTTGACGACGGATATCCGATTCAACGGTACAAGATTTTAGCAACCCAAAAAGCTCAGGCCAGTAAGGCTTCTGTGCCACCAGATTTTTGAGTTTCCTAGTTTGAGCAAATTTTCCACATTCAAGCCCAGTAACAATAGCGAACTCGCGGAGAGAGAATCTAATCGGACGACCGGCGAACAGAAACCAAAGTTCGTGCTTTTTCTTCACACGGAGAAGTCGAGCTAGCATGTAAAATCCAAAACTTCCGGAGAAAGAAGGCATATCCATCGTCGCCAATAGCTTCCCCATTTGAGAGTCTCTGAGTCTTTTAACTTCGTCTTCGTCTAAGGCGTTGAGTATCGCTTGAACAGATTTGGACTTCTGGTACGAATTAACTCGTTCCCCCACGGGTTCTTGCCCAGCTGCGAACAATCGCTCGGGAAGCTTGATATTAGACATTCTGGGATCGCCGATTTCAAAACAGCTGAATCAAAGAAATAAATTAGATAGCGTTTATCAAATAATTTGATATGGGCTATAAATTTGGCCTGAATTTACCTTTACTTCGATGAATTTAGCTTCTGATTTGCCGGAAACTGCCCAAAATTGTGAAGATATATTGTTCAGACTCGTAATGTATCGAAACTGAAAACTTCTGTCCAAGAAATAACATACCCTAAACGATATAACCGAGGATGGTTTAATGTTGTGAATATACCAATAATCATGTATGTATCGGAACATGCACTACTTTATTTTAAATTTTGAAAAATTACCCAACTTATTATCACTCTACCATGTATTAAAATAATATTTCTGAACTGACAAAATATCTTCGCCATATCGTGCATGTTCGCTTAGTATTCCATAGGATTATAGGGAGTGATAGGGGTAAGGGTGCCATATTGGAAATGTGCACAGTGTCGAAATAGTTGCTTTATCGTTTCTGCAAATTATGAACAGGAATAGGGCTATGTAGTGCATTTACACAAAAAAAAAATTAAATTTTATTTATTTATTCTTTAACCTCAAATTTTTCATAGTTTTAACGGAATTGACTCTTTTTGCTGATTTTTATCTTTCTCGTAAGTGTGGATATGAAAACATTTTATCCGACCATATGTAATTAACTAATCTTTCTGCTAACTTTGATATAATGTTTAGTTTTATCTCTGAATTTGTCATTATATATATATATATACATTAAATTTAAAGAAAATATTAGCCTTTTATTCACCAGAACTTTCTCCTTATTTCACGAAAATTGTTTTTTCTGTCTATACTTATTTTTTAATGCAAGCGCGAACACAAAACTATTATATCAGAGCGTAGATAAATAATATTTGTTAGCTTTAATATTATGGTAAATTTCAAATCTGAATTAGCTAATATTTTTATACATTATTTAGGATGAGTTTATTTTTGTTCTCCGTAAACCAAACTCTTTTCCCATGGAAAGACGATTAAACCAATACTTAACAAAACTGCAGACTTTACAATAAAACGGACTAATAGCATTTAGAATAAAATGGATTTTAATGATCTAATTACAATAAAATTTGCCACATCATATTAAAGTACATGTAAGATTAATGAACGAATAATAAAAATCGATAAAAAATGTCATATAGGATGAATATAAACACATGATATGTCAACACAAAAATACACATAGAATAGTTCTGAGAACGACAAATAAAATTTTTGACTTCACAAAAAATAGTATAGATAATCAATCAGACTATAATTTCAAATATTCAAAATTAATAAATTTATTTATATTATATGTTAATATGATATTAAAGCACTATCGTGATCTTTTGTGGGTTAGTTGGTTAATTCAATGCATATAAAAATAGGTTAGCACACTTTAACACTCATAAAAATATAGAGTAGTTATATACTAATCCAATTTTACATAATAACAATGTTTACAAAATAGGTCAGTAAATTTGAATACTTAAAATTAATAATTTTGAATCATACATGTCATACAATAAATATATTTTTCATATAACATAAAAATATAAAGATAAACACAAATCAAATTCGTTGATCACCCTCAATGTGGATTAAAATATTAAAAATTTATATCCAAATAGATAGGTTTCTTATTCTTAAAAATTATATCTACATAATGAATTTTTATTTAAAATAAATAGTTTAATACAAAATTTCTATAAACAAAAAAAAAGGGACAATTTGCCCAAAAATCTTAAAACTGGTCAAAATTATGAAACTAGGAAAAACAGTAAAAAGAAAGAGAAATTTGAATTCGAATTGGCGTGTAGTTACGAAAAAGACCCTCAAACTGAGTTTCCCGATTTTAGACCCTATAATAATAATTTAAATAAATGATATTGATGCAGATAATATCTACTGGATCTATAGGATTGCTTAGGTCAGCTACTAGGCTTCTGCGGACCACAAAATTTTGGTGCTCACAAAGATACAATAGAATGACCAATGAACAAAAAAATTAGATCATGTCATCGGCATTACTCGGCGTTACTAGGAATGATAGAGTGAACAAAAACCTGTAAGTAATTTAAATGTTAGATGATATCACATTAGATACTCTACTAACTAAATATAAAAAACAGTGAACGAAATCTTCGTTTTTAGCAATTAACAAATGCGATAACATGATCTAATTGTTGTTATAGGTTACAAAACAAAATAACACATAACACTAGTTAAACCATTACCTTCTCTTTTTCATCAAGATCACGTTACTAGGAATGATAGAGTGATAATGGCATCAAGCTCGCGTTACTAGGAATGATAAAGTGATAATGGCATACTCGACGTTACTAGGAATGATAGAGTGAACAAAAACATGCAGGTAATTTAAATGTTAGATGATATCACATTAGGTACTCTGCTAACTAAATATAAAAAAAGTGAACGAAATCTTTGTTTTTAACAGTTAACAAATGAGATAACATGATCTAATTATTGTTATCGCTTACTAGGAATGATAAAGTGATAATGACATACTTGGCGTTGCTAGGAATGATAGAGTGAACACAAACCTGCAAGTAATTTAAATGTTAGATGATATCACATTAGGTACTCTGCTAACTAAATATGTAAAAGTTAACGAAATCTTCGTTTTTAGCAGTTAACAAATGCAATAAAATGATCTAATTGTTGTTATAGGTTACAAAACAAAAAACACATAACACTAGTTAAACCATAACTTTTTCTTCTTCATCGAGCTCGCTTACATCGTCGTGTACATCAGACTCATCTTCACCATAACTGTCAGAGTCCCTAAACAGAGCTTGAACAACTTCTGGATCTCGAATCCCACTCGCGGGCGCGTCAGATCTGATTTCAGATGCCTAGTCTCCTCCGGATCCAGCTCACGCGCCGACGTAGACGTCGCGATCACGCCGCGAAACGACGTCTTGTTCTTATTCCCGCTGAAGAACGCCGGGATGGTTCCGTTCCCGAGCATCGCGCCGGATTTCGCGGAGTTGACGGTGACGCTGAAGGGATCATAAGAGAAAGTGAGGTGCTGGTTGGGATTCTCCGAGAGTAAAGTGAAGTTGAAGAAAGACGAGAGGTGGGAGACGGAGGAATCTGATGCGGTGGTTAGGTTAACGCGGCCGATTCGAAGCGATGGAACGGAGAAAGACGGCGGACGCGGGTGGTAGATCACGTACATCGCGGTTGCGGCGATGGCGGCTATGAGAGCAAGGATCAAGAAGATCAGAATCGACCAGAAACAGCAACAACAGCAAATTCGCCGGCAGCTTGGTCGAGATTGGTAGTGATGGTGACGACTGTAAGGCTGTGGACGGTAAATTGGACGGTTAGCCGGAATATAGACTTGTGGTTTCTGATTAGCCATTCCGTTGGATGTTCCGTTACCGTTAACAGCCACCGGAGCTGGAGGAGGTGCTAAGGCACCACCTGAGGAAACTCCATTAGTGGCGGTTGCTGGCTTGGAAGCTGGGAAGACTCGATCAGTCATCTTCTTCTCCGATTCTTTCTCCTCTGGTCAGATCTGAGCACACAAAAGAGAGAGAGAAAGAGTGAGGTGGAGAGGGAGAGAGAGACAACACTGAGTTATAATTGAGGGGAAATAGGGGTAATTACGCCATATTGAAAAATGAACAGGACGTGAATAGTGTGGTTTTCCTATATGCCTAATTATGAACAGTCCCGTGATCATATGGCACAGTTACTTAAAAAAAAAACTTATCCCTCATGGGTGCGCATGTTTTCTGATCGTACTAGCTGATCTGACTAGGATCTGAAAACATTGCATTAAATTTCTAAAAAACTATATATATATATATATATATATATATATATATATTATTCAGACACGCAGATGAAAATCTAGAGAATATATAAAAGATGACATGTAAATGTTTTACAAAAAATGATCACTTTTTTAAATGACCTATAAATGAAAGGGTGATTTGCATAAATAATATCTTTTACACTGACATTAGGTGAATACCATACAAGAACAGTCAATTAGGTAAATAGCAATAGTCAACCGTCCAGAAGCTGGAGAAAATACAAAAAACCCCTTGCTTCCTTATCCAAAACAATGCTTTTTCCTGATATGAAAAGGACGTCTACTTTTTGTAAAGTTGAAGACGCTACCATCAACTTTCAGAACGATAGCAGTGACTACTTTTAAGCATCGATTGGAGTGTATATAACTATGATTAAAATATAGTCCAAGCGAAAAAAAAACTAAGGATTGTCTATGAATGAGAAAAAGCTGGGGGATCGTCTATTACTGGGTTCAATATCCCTTACAGTAGTCGATTATGATTAAAATATAGTTAACTACATACTGAACTGAGTATTGTAATATATATGTAAAATATGTAAACATATTGTATTACAATAAGAAATTCTGGATTACAGGTCTTACATAAATAGACGACTATAAGAAAATCGATTACATATCTGGTCTTAAGCAACTTCATAATTGGGATTAGAGAGGCCAACATTCACATCGGTTACCTGAATGATCAAAAGAAATGGAACACATAGTCGAATACATATATCAATTAGATAGACAACTATTAATAGATGGATATAAACTATAAAATAGAAAACATAGTCGAGTACATATATCAACTACATAGACAACTATTAATAGCTAAATATAAACCTTATGAATCTCAGAATTCAGGTCTGAGATGTCTGTATTTTCGAGGGTGAGCTAAACAGTAACACAAGATAAGTAAAAATAATCGATTATAAAGTAGTGTACTACAATAATAGACACTCGATTACATGTTTTACATAAATAGACGATTATTAAAGGTCGATTACATACCTGTTCTTTAGCTACTTCATAATTGGGATCAGGGAGGCCACATTCACATCTGTAACCTGAACGATCAAAAGAATAAGAGACATAGTCGAATACATATATATATCAATTAGATAAACGACTATTAATAATCGATATCAATTCTATCAATTCTAGGATATCTGCATTTTCGAAGGTGGACTAAACAGTAACACAAGATAAGTGAAAATAATCAATTATCAAATAGACTGTTACTAATAGGTGAATACGAACTTGATCTTTAGCAAGCTTGACATTCAGATCTGGGAGGTCTGAAATCTCCTTGGTTGCTTGAACATTAACACATCACCCATGAAATAAATTGATTATATAGTAGATGTCTACTAGTAGATGGTTATGAACTTTGACCTTTCCAAACTCACAATTCCGTTCTGGGAGGTCTGCAATATACTCGGTAACATGTAAAGTAATCTAACATGAATAAAAATATAAGATTACGACATATTGGATTTTCAATTATATGAATACGAACTTGATCAAAGGAGAAACCGTTATGTTACTGTTTCTGAAAGAGGCTAGTGTGAACAGTAGAATAGGGGGTATTTCTGATTTTCTGAGTAATGGTATATCTGAATAGTAATTACAAGTAGTCAGTTACACAAAATGCCGACTACAATTGAAAATTAAATTGAAACATAATCCATAGATAAATAGTTGGCTACAAATTCAAAAACGAATGTTCATAATAGTAGTTAACTGTAAAACATGTAAAAGATTCATAATTATAATGGAAAACATAGACATCTACCCATAGGTAGTCTACTAAAATAAGAGACAACAACTAAATTTGAAAGAACTGGTTTAACATGCTTTTTCCAGATAACAACCAAAAGAATCAGGATCGACCGCAGATTCTTTTCCTAGCCTTACAAAGACATCAAGCACTAGATCCCGAATCTGGAGAAGCACATTATTTGCCGAGACGTTGAGATGTTCAGAAGTGGATGTGTCTTTTTTTATTGTTGTCCATTCTGATAAATAAATATAAAGTAGACAACTATTAGTAGAAGGTTGTTCATTCTGATAAATAAATTGAAAGTAGACAACTATTAGTAGACAATAAATAACATAGAATTTGCTTCTTGGTTTCGCTATTGTAGTTGATTAGCAATGTTAACATAAAATGGACGGATATGACAGTTTGCATCACTACTCTGGGGAAGCACATTATTTGCAAACGGTGTGGGTTCGGATTGTCGAAAAGTACATATATCCCTTGAAACGAACAAAAGTCAAATAGTTAGCTATTGTAAACTGACTACCAATGTGACGTAAATAACAGACGCACATATATGAGTAGATGACTATTCCTGTCTAGTAGTTATGTAGACTAACTGAATATGTAGCTTTATATTGAATCGATTATAAACGTTGCGAGTAGACGATTACTAGCGACGATGTATATAGTTAACTACCGAAAGAAAAATATAAAAATCCTAGATCTATAAAATCCTAGATCTATAAAATCAAGAAACCCAGATGTGGATAACAGCGAAAATAGCCACCGTACTGAAGAAATACAGAGAACAATTTACAAAAATAGTAGAAAGTAAAAATCAGCAGAACAGAACCAGGTATCGAAGATATACGTTTCATAACTCACCACTGAAGAAAGAATCGGCTGTGTTACAGATTTTTCACCATGGTTTAAAGCTGATGAACCAGCGATAATGAGAGATGGTAGTGCCTCGCCGTAGAGAAAGAGAGGAGCAAGAAGAAAGACGAACGAGTAGTCACCGTAGAAAAAGAAAGAAGAGAATTTTTTGGATGTGGGAGAAATGATTTGAAATAAAAATAAAAAAGTGAAAAACGCCTCTTTTGAATCTTTGACGGAAGAAGGAGGATATAAGAGAGGATATAAAGAGAAGATTTGGAAATGAAAAACAGGATTTCAAATTTTAAAATCCTGAATATGAAAACAAGACGTAAATTATTATTTTTAAAAAGAAATCAATGAAACAAAAAAATAAATTGTGTCAGACCAAAAAAGTTTGTGTTGCTATGATACAGGTTTTATGTCATAAGGTTGGGAAGCTGAGGGTGTGTAGTGTCTTTGCACAGAAGTAAAAAATTTACTTTTCATTCGCAATTCTTGCAAATTGTTCTATGCAGAATGCTATCCCACCTATTTTCCCTAAATGAAAATTTCAACATAATAAAGTTTGTGCCTTTAAAATTGAAGGCCAAAATATAAGCACTTCACGCCTAGGATGAATTCATTAAGATGAAATAAAATGAAGAAAGTTGAAGAGAAAAAAACTAGAATCGAAGTTAGGGAACCACACATACCTTTTAGGCCTAGGATGACAATGGTGTAGGTCCAAAAAACAAGTAATAAGAAAGTAAAAATTAAAAAATATATATATATATATGACAATGGTGTACATATAGTCACAAATACCTTTCATAACTAATCTGAAATCCTTTTAGTTATTTAATTCTGAACCCATAGGGTAACCATAGTTGCATTTGCACATGTACACATTTAATACGAATATATATTATATATATAAAAATAATAATACGAATACAAATATTAGAGATACGGATACCATTACAACTACTTTAAGGTTTAAGTAATATTTACAAAACAAATACACAACTTGTGCTCGAGTTCTATTTAGTTTACCTATATTTTCCGCCTCAACTACTCTAATTGTGTCTCTATGACGTGTGAAGCAAAGGAAAATCAACCTCATCACACCACTCCACACATCTTGTCTCATAGAACGAAGTGTTCAACTTGTTTGGCCAATAAGTTAACCAAATTTTGCCACCCATTCTCCATTTCAACACACTCCCTTCCATCTCTCTCCCAACTCTCCACCCAACTTCATCTCCATACTCATCTCTTCCAAAAACCATCCCACCACTCTTCGTAAACACATTCTTAAAACCCTCAGGGTTCGGCTTCACGTTCGTCACTTCTTGGCCGCTCTCTCTATCGTACAACACAGCATCAAAAACCGCAGCGTTTCCTTCACTGTCCTGCTCGATTCTCCAATCTTTGATCTTCCTCCTCGTAGACATTCTTGCTCTTGCCTTCACTCTCGGAGCCACTTTCCCTTTCCCGAAATTTCCTTTTAGAACCCTCATCACCTCCACCTCTCTCTCCTCATTTTTCGTTGAACGTCCTAGGCTTAGTCCGGACACATGGCTTGACCCGATTTCTGGCCCGACCCAGACCCTAACCCGCGACGGGAAGTACTTCTCCTCCGAGTAACAATCTGCTATCTGATTCTCCATGCCCCCTCCCTTATGAAGCCCTAGCTTTGACACGTGGATGCGTATGTTATCCACACGAGCATTCACTTTTATGTAGTTCTCGTGAAACCTAACGGAGTAATCGTACTGCACGATTATTTCAACTTGCTGGTGCGACAAAGCGTAACGTAGGACAGCTTCTTTAGGCTCTACGATGGGAAACTTGATGATATTGTTGTGAACCTCGTTAGAGCTATTATTACCTGTGACGTTCATCGACAAGATAGGGTAATAGCCTTTCAAGATCCAAAGCCCATGGGCTTCTGTTGCATATGAAAACCCCAATGGATGACGTGGCAATGAGCTTCTGAGCTGTTTCAACCCGAGATTCTCAAGTCCCACTTCCTTGGAGATCATCCATTTGGATAAGGCGTAAGAAGCGGCGCGTACGATACACAGCTCGGGGTCTACACCGACTGAGACGAGAAACTTTTTCAGCACAGGTGCGTGTTGACAGGTAAGCGAGTTCACGTGAGGACCTAGTAAGTGCTGGAAGAAGAAAGAGCCAACTTCGCTAGGCGCGTCGAACGCACATAGCCGAAAAAGGCGCGTGAGGAGGATTAGATTAAAGACTGATGAGAAGGATTCCGGCGAGTGAGAGTCCATGACCCAGTTAACCGGACCCGGTTTAACTTCAAGTAGGTCAGACTTTGTGCACGCGCTGTCACGTGTGGTAGGGGAGTGGGAGATTAGTTCTCGGAGGAGCTGGAGAACTAGAGGGAGGAACGGTTTCTCCGACGACAAGAGACACGTGTCGGAGACCCATATGGTCGATGATTTAAGGCGGTGGAAACCCTTTACTATCACTTTGAAAATGAGTGAGAGAGATTCTTGGTCAGACCCTGAAGCTCGTTCAACCGTGAGTTGGATTGAACGAGTCAAGTCCCCTGCGAGCTGAAACACTGCGGGTGAATCAGATTCGGCAAACTCAGAAGATTCAGGAAGCTCGCATATCCACGACCACGGGTCCATTTTTCTTGAGCTTATTTTATTTTTCTCGGGAAAATATATGTGTGTTTTGGTAGATGTGAAAAAGGGGAGAATAAAATTCTTCTAGCGAGAAACGGAGGTAAAGAATTTTATAGAGACATCGTGTGGTGGTGGAGAAGCCATGAAGGATATTGAACTTATCGATCAGAGACTCTTCAACGAAGCAATCACGGATCAAAAATATATCTGTGGCTTTACAATATCCTCATTAATGACATACTCTTGTTTTCTTGTTTGGGTATTTGGCTTATAAAGGACCACGACCACTTCTTTTTTGCATGGCGGAAGGTTAAGGCAGGGACGTGGAGTTTTAACGTTTTCTCGCGTGTGGATATAGCTACGTGTTGCATGAACTAGAGCGAATACGTACATTCATTTTTCGATCACAGATAAATAGTGAAGATAAATAATAATATAAATGATATATTTGATTGAAAACAATAGAGTAAGCAATCTTAAGGATTTGTTAACCTTATCCAGAGAGCTTGAGTTCTTTTTTGTTATGAGTGTAAATTTTATTATTGAGAGTGAACTAGCCTCTTATAAGAGGTTTGATAGATTCATATAATATATATGATATATACTTTAAAATCTTACCATCTCTACAATAAATAGATAAATTTATAATTTTGTTACCTATGAACTATATTTACTTTGTATTATTTTTATGGTGAAATATACTTTTAAAATCTTATCATATGCTACAAATAGAGAAATTTCTTTTCTTTTTTTGGTTTAAATATTAAATTTTACTTCAGTTTTAAGATTTGCGACAGTGTTACAGAAATAACTGAGAACATCTGAGAACATCTGCATTGGTGAGAGACCCATCTGCATTGGTGAGAGACTCATTGAATCTCTCATCATTATATTATTATTATTTTAAATATAGTTTAATTTGATAACTTTTTGTTGGTTTTTAGTCTAAGTTCACTAAATTTCTAAAATAATATAATATTAATATTTTTATTATAGTTTAATTTAAGTAATTATTATTACTAATTATTATAATATTTATATATAATTTAAAATTTATGTATAATGGATTTTATTATAATTTACAAAAAAATGAAAAATTATAATATATATATGATTTATTTAACATCCTAAACTATGAAGAATTTAAGTTATTATAATTAAATCTGGACCACTTATAAAGATACATGTGTCCTATGTGAGAGAGTTTTAAGAGATTTTCAGAGTCTCTCAAACATACAAGTAAGTTAAGCAAACATCTCAAGATACAAGAGGATCCTCCATAAAGAAACACTGATTCCTAACATAAAAGCTCAGAATTTTTTTTTCCCCATCTATGAACTATATTTATTTTGTATTAATTTTGTGTTTTTGTATGCCTAGTATAGTTGTTACAAATGATCAATTATTCTTTTGCGTATTATTCTTAGTACAGTAAAACTTCGATAAATTAATACTCTATAAATTAATAATTACTATAAAATAATAAATTTTACTATGCAATTAATTTTACTCTTTTGCACAATCAATTCTTTATATTCATGGATTACAACTTTGGATCAATATCTATGCAATTTTTTCCATTACACCTCTAAAGCATCAATTATATATTTTATATTATATAAACAATATAATACAATCCGTGCATCGCGTGTACCATCATCTAGTATCATATAAAATGAAAGTTTGGTCTTACAGAAGCATGACCCCTATACATAGCACCTTGCAAAAAGAATATAAAAACCAAAGTGCCAGAAGATTATGAAACACTGAGAATACAACTTAATATATCCAAAGTAACATTAAGTTGGTGAACCGTTTCTATTCTAAAAATTCAATTTAATACTGTTCTAAAAACTCAGTTTTATTCAATCAGGTTGCTTTGATACCCGCTTGAAACCGCCCCTCCAATCCCTCCCAAATTCTGATCCATCACCGGTAAAATCGAAGTATGATGGCTGCCGCTCCTTCCTCCCCTCATGACAAGGCCCTGACTGAGCCGATTGCTTCTGTATCTGTTGCTCCACCTGGTTCTCTTTTGACAGTAGAGGCGGCTGTTAGAGATGAGAAATCCGAGGAATCTGGTGGTTAGGGCAATGCTGGAAAGAAACCAGTTGAATAGCCCGTCTAATGGGGATTCTGAGGTCGGACCCATCATGGGAGCTTTGTTGTGGCCTGCTCTTTCTGAGACTGAGACCACCAAAGCACCTTTAAACAAGTCTTCTTCTGATTCATTAAACAGTCTCGGCAATGTATCATTATAATCGTCTGTCCTTGTTTCTCAGGTCTAATGGATTGCATAGTGATTAGTTTATTTTCTAGTTAATTATTATCCCTTCAAGGTGAGTGGTTTTAGGATCGTCTCGAACTCTTGTGACAATACGTTGTTTTGCTCTTGATTTACGGTGAAAGTTTGAATTTTGTGACAAATCTTGTGAATTCAGTTTATAGACCTTCTAATTTTGTTATTTAATTGAATCTTGAGCTATTCATATTCTTTGAGCCACAGAGTAATCTATTTTGAGCCTAGCTAGTTTCTATAATCTTTTTAAGTTATAAGAGAAAGAGATATATTCCATTTGTCATTTAGAAATGAAAAATCAACTTGAGCTGTTTTTTATCAATGTGAATTTTCAGCTTTATATCCAGCCACCAAAAAGAACCGGTACAATAACTCTTGCATCAGGTAAATTTAAAATGATGTCAATATTACACTTATTGGTTTATTTTTATTGTTTTCCAGTGTATTGCAAATGATATTGTTATATAGCCGAATTTGGCTTTAACAAAAGAATAATTGTACTAAATGACCAAGTCTACACTCAAATTTGTAGAATGATAAAGCAATATTAAGTGCACTGTACATTTTTTTTAAATACCATAGCACCCCTACAGCCCTACCCATGTCTATCATCTCCCTTTCTCTTCTCTCTCCTTCATCTCCATTTCTTATGTCTCTATTGTAATCTTCTTCACCTTTATCTTCGAGATTGTCTCTTCGAAAACAATATTTCCCAACAATATCAAATCACCATCACCGGATCTGCTTATTGAAAACCCTAGATCTGAAATTTATTGTATATGATCAAAGCTGGTGAAATTCTAACTTCAATCTGAACCTTCAATAAAAAAATTAACATTGGTTTGGTTGCACACCAGTATACTCACCCTGACTTCTCCATCGTTGATCAAATTAAGTTTTTTTCTGGCTTTCTTTGTAAGGAAAAATAACTTTGTATTCTAACTGCTAGAACAACCGATGATCCTATCAAATTGATGCTAACATATATAATAGTATGTATCTAGCTGAATTACTCTTATAATTTTATTGTCAGAGTGCTGACATATCTAATAGAGTGTTATATGTATTTGTAGTGCACTAACTACAAAAACAACACCTTTAACAATCTAGATAATTTATTATTGTTATCAATCTAATATAAATTTTACCTAGTTAGTTATTATGCTAGACGTTAATTTATATGTAATGTGATAATTATATTAATAAAATCTTTAATCATCTATATAACTCATTATTGTTATCAATCCAACATATTTTTACCTAGTAAATTATAATGTTAGACGTTAATCTATGTGTAACATGCTAAGTATATCAATAATATCTTTAATCATCTATATAACTCATTATTGTTATCAATCTAACATTATCTTTATCGTGTACAACATAACGTTATATTTATGTGTTTATATATGATATAATAATTGTTAATCTATAACAAAATATATAACTTGTTATTATAATATATTGCTTGTCTAGCGGTAACAATTTGTGTGGCTATGATTAACAGAAGAAGATAATTCCCTACTCTACATAATCCTCCCAGCCACTATAAAATCACCATATCTCTTGTCAGAACTCAACAAAGGACGTGGCATAATTTTAGGGTAATATGGTATTTGTTGATAACCATCTCCACAGTACCAATAGTTTTCGGTGGGATCTTGGTCATTTTTACAAATTCGACTTGGCTTGTGATTATTGAGCTAATTTAGTCCAAAAAAACCTGAATTTTGTTGTGTTTTATTTTTTCTGCTACGTTCATTGCTGGATTTGCGAGCTAGATAGCATCTATCAAATTTTTTAATTCACTATTTTTTTCTGATAATCGGTAAGAGCTGATCAGAAATTTTAATGATTTCATGTAATTTTCGTATGTTTGGCATTAGTTTTTACTTTTGAGTCATTTAGAAGTTATCTGAGTAGTAAATTTGGTATGTTTAGGATGAGTTTTGAGTCATTTTGGTGTGATTTAATTTTTGGTTTGCACAAAGATATTCTGGAATAAGTCTGCTTGCAGTTACATATCAAGTTATCGACATGCCTTATCTTACACTGGCAGATGTAAAAGACGATGGTGATAAATTTCTTAATGGGGGAACCTCCTCTCAAAGAAGAAGAGAGCCCAAGTTGAGACTAGGTAATAAAAATGTAGGAGATAGGAATGATCTTAAAAGGTGTAATTAAGCGGAGAGGTAAAAAAGGAAGCAAGGCTAATGAGAATTGGTAGACTGCGAGAAATGAAGTTTTTTTTATGAATTGTTGGTTATTTAAATTTTTGCAAGAGTGTGAATTACTTTAAGTCAATAGCTCAAAAGCACAAGTAAATTCGGAAAGCCATGAGAAAGTGGAAGCTACGAAGACAAAGACCAAAAAGTGTCAGTTAGAGATGGGAAATTGGTATCTAATAAAAATAGATTGAGTTATCCTGAGTCTGCTGTTTCATACTGTTAAAACTCAAAGTCAGAAGAAGGGTTGAGAAAAAAGGTAGGAACTACAGATGGAAATGACAAAGCAAGCCAAAACATTATACAAAAAGAATAATTATATCTTTCTTCCTTCAAATTAATTTTCTGTTCTTAGTTTAAATTTTAAAGAAATGTAATAATTGACTATTTATAGGTAGTTTTTCATATAAGTAGTTTAAATTCTATCTTTGACTCCTTAATTTGTAAAACTCTCATTACTTAGAAAATAACAACATTAGGGTTTGGCACGCATTTGACTTATTTTATTTATTTTCCACATTTATGTCTTATTAAAC